TGGTTCTCCTGCTCTACCTCCTATACCTCCCAACCTGTGGGAGGCAGCCATACCCCCTTTTACTTGGTGCTCAGGATCAAACCCAGGGCTTCATGGTTGCTAGGCAAACATTCTCCCAACAGATCAAACCTCAACCTTGTGGAGTATCTCCTATGTGCTGCCGTCTGCCCTAGCACAGGCACAGCCCCACCCCTTCCTCCAGCTCCTTCTTTTGCCTGCTCTTCTCCCACTTCTGCTCCTCCCTGTCCTTCAGACTCTCACTGAATTCTGCCTCCTCCAGGAAGCCCCTTTCACCAGTCACCCCCTGCCTTGCATCTGACATCATCAACAGTTCAGCTCAGTCCCAGTGAGCTTCCTGAAGCAGCCCAACATCTGCAGAATTCTGCAGAGTCACAGGACTCTTAGAGAACACATTGCTCCAACTGTGCCCTCAAGGGTTTCAAAGACAGAACTATGAACCCATGGATTCAGTTCTGCTTTGCTGAGTCCCTGCTCTGCACAGAGCCCAGGGTCCTGGGTACCCTGCGGACCTTCAAGAGCCTGGCCCAGCCTCTGCCCTCTGCCTGGAGACAGGGATAGAGGACAGCACAAAACAGTTATTCTGAAAAGAAATTGTTTATGGGCTGGCAGTGAGTAAGGTGTGGTCAAGCCTGATAACCTGAGTTAGAGTCCCGGGACCCACACTGCGGAAGAAGAGAACTCACAAAAGTTGTCCTCTGACTCTGGTCACACTCTGCACACCCCCCTCCCCATGACTCCCTTTCACACACATACGTGCATACATGTACAGGTGCATAGAAACATACGTGCATACATGTACAGGTGCATAGAAAAAAGATGCAGTTTTATAAAACAGGGGGCACAGACCTCTGTTTTATAAAAGAAGGCAGGTGTCAGGGAAGCCCTGGTCCACACTTTACCTGGGAGCCTGCTTACCTGGGAACCTGTTTCCATCCGGTACCGGACACTCTGCACCAGTTGCACTGGGTACCAAAGGCTCAGGAACCCAAGGCCCAGCAACAGAGGCAAGGAGGCCAGCAGGGAATAGTACTTGTAGATCTGGACAGACAGACACACAATCAGACCTACCTTCTGCCTTCTTCCCAGGATCCATGTCCCTTCCCACCCCACACAGGGCCTTGGGGATGGCCCCGGGTCCATGGTAAGCCTTCTGGTTCTAGAGCCACCAAACTGGCTCACCTCCCGACTTGGGGCCCTAATAGCTTAAACAGAATCCAGAGAAGGTGGTACAATCCTTTCCTAAACTCCCATGGCTTCAGTGAGCCCTGCAACCAGTCACCCAGTTTCTCAGTTTCCGTGCTCCTAGAACATTAGGACACACACTACTAAAAACTAGACCACAACAGGGGCTGGAGAGATGGCTCAGAGGTTAAAAGCACTGGCTGCTCTTCCAGGGGCTCAGATTTGGTTCCCGGCACCCACGTGGCGGTTCACAACTGTCTGAACTCTGGTTCTGAGGGTCTAGTGCCATCTCCTGGCCTCTACAGGCACTGCAAGCATATGGTACACACACACATACATGCAAACAAAACACTCATCCACACTTAAAAAATGAAAATTAAATAAATAAAAACCTAGACAAAGACCCAATTTTTTCTAGTACAGTTTGTCTAGTACACGCCCCTGTACCCACGGGAGACCTCCCTGGGTCCGCTCCTTCTGTTCATTTATGTGACTTTCAAGTCAGTGTTTTTCTTGAGAGCATAACATGTACTAAGTGGTGAACAATACTCAAGTGCCTTAGCAGAAAAGCTTCTTAGCTTTAGTGTTTGGGGTCTTTGCTTTCTATTTTGAGACAAAATCTTGCTACATAGCCCAAGTTGGCCTCAAACTAGTGATCCTCCTGCCTCAGCTTCCCAAGAACTGGAATTAGAAGTGATCCTTAAATTTTTAAAAATTTCCTAATCTTCGCTTTCCTGGAGAGATGGGTGTTGCCAGCTCCGTCGACAAGTGGGGAAACCGAGTCTCGGACAAGTGACTCTGTTCCCTGAATACTCAGCCCTAGGTGGGGGTCACCTTGCTTGTCTGTGTACTGTGTCTCTTCCTCTGGGAGGACAGCTCCTAGAAGGCCAGGGACTTATTTTATTTTGACCACAGGGGTATTTCGAGGCCTGACCAAAGCAGTGGCTGAATAAGAGCAGCCGTGCCTGGAAAATGAGTGTGGTGAAGCCGTGGAGCTGGGATGTTCGGCTAGAAAGCCGATGCACCTGCACCGCTGATCTTTGGGTCTGCCCCGAGGAGCTTCATAATCTCAGCCAGGAGCCAGCGAAGCTATTCTGGGGTTCGAGAATTCTTCTTTGGGCCTCTAGGCTATCTCCCCACTGATCACTACTTGCCTCTGTCTATTCATTCTGCCCCCCAAAAGATTTGGAAATCAGGGGAAGGGTGCTGTGGGCTTCCTCGTCCTCACTTTGCCCTCCTAGGCTGAAAGCTGCGAAGGACACAGCCCAGATCCCCGCCCCAGGCCTCAGCCCCAGAGCAGCCAAGCTCGGCCACAGACGTGGGTTGACATGCAGGAGAGTCTGAGAATAATCGAGGGAAGCAGGGAAGCCCAGAGTGTGGGCAGAGGTGAGAAGAGACAAGCAGGTGCATTCGTCTTCCCTAGACCACTGTGAGTCAGGCTTACCTTGGGGTCCTGAGGACACTCGGCTCTCTGCCAGACCTGAACTCCAAAGTGGGCCCAGGATAGCACTGTGCCCAATAAGTATGCCATTCGGTGCCCTGCCGTGGCACAGGCAGCCAGAGGGTAGTAAAGGACCGGATAGTAGAGCAGGGCCAGTAGCTTCCAGGGCTCTGGAAAGGGAAACAAATGAGAGATACTGACAGAGAGAAAGACTGAGGGCCTGGACATACCCACCGAAGCCTCTTCCCTGTCTGTCTCCCAAGCCCCTCAGCTTCTTCAGTGGGTAAGAGCTCACTTTGCTTGGGTTCGAGCAAAAGCTATGATCTTAGCCAAGTTACCTGGCAGTGTCTTCGTCTCCCCGTCTGCAAAAAAGAAAGAAGCACAATGTTTTAGCAGAGGCGAACCGAGGAGTGCTTAGCATGGTGCCTGAGTAAGTACTCGGCAAGCTAAGTACTTTTGATCACCGCTTTCTTCTCTGACCCTTAGTTCTCTCTAAACTAGAGCTATTACTATTGTCCACCTCTGTGGAGATTGTTGATCTACAGAGGTCAGTGTGCGGCCAGCGTATCCCCTACTGACAGATGTTCCTGTTTCCATCACCTCCCCCAGCCAACTTCAATAAACCAGGACCCCACCCTGCCTTGTCTCATCAGGCCAGCCCCAGAGTACCTGCGCAGATACCTGGGGTAGATGCTGTCTTGAGGCTCAAAAAAGGCAGTGGGTTCTCAGCAGGCAGCAACAGGCACAGATTACTGAAGAGGACCACAAAGACAGCAGTGGGCACCGTCCAGGATCGGTCCCCAGCCAAGAAATCCACAGGGCTGCCATGGACAGGGACAGGATAGAAGGAAGGCACTCAGTCCCTTAGCCTTGCCCCTCCACACTATGCTCCCTAAACTGTGAAGTAGTCAGTCTACCATGCAAAGGGAAGAACGGAGGTCTCTCTTCACTGTTCATTCACTCACTATCAACATGTTTGTGGAGGGCCTTGCACCCATCCTCAGCTGGGCACGGAGGCAAAGGGCGGGTGGGAACAAGTTCTTGGTGCTCCACCCGCCAGGGGAGCTCCAGGAAACAGCCGCCTCCATGGGAGTAGATCTGTCTGTCTGGGCTGGCAGGCCTTCAGAGAACACAGCGAGTCATAACATCCTTGTGCAACGACCGCCTCCTTGGACTGGGTGTGGACCAGGGCAGAGGGCAGACAGCGGGCACGGCAGTCTCAGGCTCGTGGTCTCTGCTTCTCTACTCTAGTTTGTCCTGGTTTTCTGGGAGCCCCATCCTCTTTCCTTGTACTCCACAGCAAAATAGGCTTCTCTCTGCCCTGACATCACAGCCTGCTCCCACAGAAGCCCCTAGTTCCCACAGGACTTGCACCTGCTGTCTTTCCTAACTTTTGCTGTCTTCTTCTTCAGCCCAGTCGTGTGTCCTTAGAACGTCCCCTGCCTCGCTCTCTGAAGTGAGTTACACAGCCAAAGGAAAAGGGAAAAAGAAAGTGGCAGCCATGGGGGCTGAAGGGCAGTCGCTCACAGATCGTGATCCCAGGATGTTCTCGAGGGAAGAGACTGAGATGACATCAGGGGGTAATGGCCACTCTAGGCCACTCTAAGTCAGAGGGCTTCCTACCAGGACCTTCCATTCCCTGAAATTCCTTACGCCATCTCCTGAACACTCAAGCAGGTGGATGGAGCAGCCTCTCCACTTCCTCCTGCCTAAGCCAAGAATTCTGGGAGGGGAGGGCTCCAGACTGAGAGAGACAGGGGTGTCTCTGTAGTCAGAGCTGACTTTAAAGCACTTAAGAAGTTACCCACCCTCCCAGAGGAACCTTGTCAGCTGGGCCTCAAGTGGGGCTTCCCATAGCCTAGCACCAACCTGGGAAGTCCGGGCCCGTGGTGACCACAACGTGACCAAAGCCTGCGGCGCCTCACCAGCAAGGCCAGCAACAGCAGAGCCAGGAGCTGGAAGAAGAGAGCAGAGAGGGCTTGGGTGTCAGGCTTCCTGGAGGTCTGAGTTCCAAGACTTGTCCCTGTAGGTCTCAAAAGGCTCCTCACCCACCCAACACATGCTCAGGTGACATCTTGGGGACTGGCTAAAAGATGACAGAGTCTGTGAGAGATTGGACTTGGTCAGTATGTCTTGTTTGGGGGGGGGGCACTAGGTCCTCAGCACCATCCCAAATAAGAACACAAATCCCTCTGCCTTGACTGGCAGCAGGTGGCGAGGCAGGCTGGACTTACTGACAGTGAGGCCAGGCAGGCATGGTGCAGGGCAGGTGGTACACTTGGCTGGCAGGGTGGCGTCACCCTATGGAAAAAACAATCCATAGGTTTAGCTGGATCTAGGGTCCGAGGAGGTCTCACCAGTATCTCCCTCCCTCTACCCCGACCCCAGGCTGCCTAGTTCTGCTCTTCAGGTCAGTCTGGATCCCCATGCTCCTGTATCTGCTGGTCCTGTGCCATGCTATAGGGCTAGAGACAAGAGACTCCTGAGAAACACAGAGTAGTGAAGCTTGGTCTGAATGTCTATTCTTGGTCACCCCAATAGTTCCTGTCCTCCAAGGTAGTCATCATCCATTAACCTTTAGGGGATTCCTGACGGCTCCCGGACCCACAGACCTACAGAGGTTGAACCTACGACCTGAGTCAAGTAGTCTAGTAGTAATCAGTTTAGTCCTGTCTGATTTGCTTCTGCTGCCTGAAGGATCTAGAACCGGAAGGGTCCTTTCTTTTTCCCCATTCCATCTCATTAAAGGCTTTGGGGTGCAGCAAAACAGATTGTATTATTGCACAAGGGCACGACTCAGAAATCCTCCATGCTCTGTGCCTGCTGAACTGAACACACTAAATGAAGGGTCCCTTTTCCTAATCACCACAGAGGCTCCCTGGGGGCTGGCAGAGGTCCTGCCCTGAAGCACAGCAAGAAGCCCATGGAAATAAAAGGCTCAAGGAGGACCGTCCATGGCTGAGTCACGTGGCAGAGAAAGCTTCCACTAAAGACGGGTAAGCAGGCAGGCTGGGTGCCAGGGCTGGGAAAGTTTTCTAGAATGCCAAGCTTGCATCTGAGAGCCAGAGGGGGGTTTCCAATGTGAGAGAGACCTGGGAAGATGGGGATGTGGCATGTGTGGGATGGGGAGGTGGGGGAGAAGAGTGAGGAGTTGGGAAGAGGGAGGGGCAGGGGATGGAGCTGAAAGGCATCTGCTGTGGCTTGGCTTTGTTGGTCAGGAGGCTAGGCCACCCTCTTAGCCACCTGCCTGCTGAGTAGCAAAGAAAGCAAACAGGTGTGCTGAGCCCTGGGACCATCTGCTGGTTGGCCTCCCCCCTCCACCTGGTTTTTTCTTGGGGACTTCTTGAGATCATCGTTGAGGTGGAAGGGTCACATGGGTCTTTATTGTGCCATCTCTAGCCCCAGCAAAGCCACCTCCATAAGCAACATGCCTGTCATGCAGGGGCACAGGGGATGAATACCCACTGCCTGATTCTGGGTCTTGTTGTTTGTTTCATTTTTTTGTTTTACGAGGCAGGGTTTCTCTGTAGCTTTGGAACCTATCCTGGAATCCATTCTGTAGACCAGGCTGGCCTCGAACTCACAGAATCCTGAGTGCTGGGATTAGAGGCATGCACCGCCACCACCCGGCTTGAGCTTGGGTCTTATAGCCTCTGACTCCCAAGTGCAATATGATCAGCCTTGGAGCCTCGGGAGCACTGCTCAAGTCCCTAAACCCCTCTCCGTGTCTAGTCCTGCTCAGTCCTGGGCTTCTAGCCTTGCCAGGACAGGGATACAGTACTCTGCTCTTTGAGCAACTTGGTCACTTTCTCATGAGCCCACATCAAACTAAAAGCCACCTCAACCCTGGAAACCTTACTTAAAACACTATCTGGAGAAACTCTGGTCCTTATTGAACGTAACGTTCCTGACGCCTTAGTTTAGTTGTTCACTCAGGATGCGTGGGGACTCAGGCTTTGTGTGATTTTTCAGACAGGATAACAGATATTACCATGGGGAGGGCAAGAAACTACCTCTCTGGTACTGAAGAGTACAGAAGGGAGAAAAAGTTCTACCAGGCTTCTGAGAAGATGGCTGAGAGGCTCCAAACTGGATCACAGCCATAAAAAAAAGTAACCTTTACAGAGCTTTGGGACTTGAGCTGGACAGAGGTTGGCATCTCCTCAGAAAAAGAAGGGAAGAGGCAACCCTGGAATGCAGAAAGAGCCTGAGTAGGGAGAGAAGACACTGGCACTAGACAATCCTCTCAGCTTGCTGGCCCAGAGGGAGGCCAGGGCAAGGTTAAAGCCGGTGTGGGAGGCACTGGGAAGCCCGCCTGTGCAAGGCAGAGGCCTCGAGCTTAGAAGTCTGTGACTGAGTCCATCCTGACCCTGGGACCCCGCCCTAGTTCCATCCTATGGTGCAGGGCACACTAAGGTACAGAGAGTCTGCATCCTGGAGCTTTGAAGTAGTGCACCCCTGGGGTGTCTGACTCACAGAGGCAGAGGTGAACCCAAGTTCATCTCCTAGGGAATCCCCTGTATTCCCAGCTTTCAGTTCTCATCTTTGGCGGGTGGGGGTAGGGGTGGGCGAGAGGTGAAGTTGTGTATAGACTTGCTATGTTTTGTTTTCTGAATAAGAAGGTTGCAATAATCCCCTTCACTCTACAGACCCACCTCTCTGCAGACCCAGAACTAGTTGCAGGCACCTGGCTTCCAGCCCATGCCCAGCCTGGTCCCTGGTCACAAGGACACACTTTCTGATTATGTCCTCACCCCAAGTTTGGAGCTTGGTGTCCTTGGAGAGCCTAGGCCCCTCCTCTAGCCAATGCCTATGTGGCAGAGTTGGGGAGACTGGGGAGAGGGGGTCACGAGGGCCTTGCTGACCACAGACTTTTGCAGGTGGCCAGAACCCTAAGTCCTCCGAACAACAGCACCTTCCCTCGGGCCTGGGTGGGGCCTCAGTCCCTGCTGGGTGACCCCAACCAAGCCATGCCGCAGCCATAGCCTCTGGGGAAACACTTGAGCATTTTTCCTTCTCCAGTTTCAAATTTTAATGGGGAACAGATGTACACACATCTGGCTTAGTACCTCCCCTCCACCCCATCCCACTCCACCCCCACCTCTCTGCCTCACCTTTCCAGTTCTTCAAAACTGCTCAGATGGAGCAGGGGCCAGGAACAATGCCGGGAGAGCTGAGCTCAGAGTGCCATGGAGGCAGACGGTCTTAGGGGAGAGGAGTGCCATGCCCCAGAAAACCTCAGTGCCCAGACTAAGCAGATAAGAAGGGTCAAGGCCAAGAACTCTCAGGACACCCGTGGGATGAGGGTGAGTTGGACTGCATGTGTACCTTCCCTGGGCTAGCCTACGCACTTGCTGCTAAAACCAGACCTCCTCTCCTTCCGTACCTTCCTAAACCCGACTCAGCGTGGACCAGAGATGAGCCACAGGTTGCTTCAGTGACTCCCCGGGTTTTCCTTCTAGGGTTTCTGACTCTCCCATGCTTGTAAAGCCCCAGGTACAAACCATATACCAGTCACCACAGAGGTCTGGGATAGTCACACCGCTACCATCTTGGCTGGCTACAGGCCAGATGGCCTCAAGCCCTTCTTAAGAACTCAAGAACGGTTGTTCTCAGGTATTAGAGACAGCCTGAAGCTGTGACCTGCCTGGTGTCACGCCTCAGATAAATGGAAGAGCCACTCTTAAAACACTGGTCCAGGGTCTCTCTGCCTCCATCTTGGCAACCTCTATACCATGCCCTGTTCCGATGGCTGACTGAGCCAAATGCTACACTTACCCCTCTGGCTGCCCCTCCTCAGGCCCTAGAGGCTCCTCGATGTACCAGCTGCTGTAGTCGTCAGTCATCCCGGAGGAGGTCTGGTTTCCATCCTCTCCTGCGTGGGATGCCATGCTCCAGCCCTTCTTCCTTGAACCCAGAAAAGGGAGCGACAGAAAAGAAAAAGGGGGGCATACAAATGTGAAAAGAGGCTTAAAAGAAAAAAAAAAGAAAGAAAGAAAACCAGAAACAAAGGAGCATTTCTTCTTAATCCCAAAGGTTACTTTCTTGCTTTTAGCTCTCTGGGAAAAGCCATCTGGGACTTCAGGTCAGGGAAGGGCTGGTGGGGTGGGGGTGGAGGAGAGTGGGGGAGCATTCAGGAGTCTCCTCTTGTCTTTTCCTACCCTTTCGCTTGGTCTGACAGTCCTTTCCTGCACCCCTGGAGTTCCAGGCTCTTGCTGGAGCACCTAGTGGGCCAACTGACCTGCTACCAGCTGGTCTACTTTCAAAGATTTCCCTAGTGCAAACTGCCCGCACAGACCCCTTCCTTCCCCGCCCCAAGCCCACCCAGATGGACCCACAGACAGAGTAGAAAGGGGGGACCAAGGAGGAAGGAGCTGCAGAGATGAAAGGGTGGGCGGGCTGTGGCCGGCACCACTTGGTCTGTCCCACAGCTGGGCTCCCCACCCCTCCTGCTCTGGGGTCCAGCCCAAGCCCTCCCCCTTTGCCAAACTCCCTTGAGACCATCCCCCAGTGTCCACTTGCCCCTGGTCAGCCCCTTTACCTTTATAGCCTCAGTGCTGGGAACACACCACGATTCTTGATGAGCCCCCTCCCCGCCCCCCGCTGATGGATGTGCAAGTCTACCTACCTCCAGCACCTGCCCCCAGCGAGCTCTCCCCGCTAGGCACAGCCCCTCTGCAGAGCCCAGTATCGTGGCATCTTAGGACAATACCCTACTGAGGCTGGCCACAGAGGCAGGGAGGAACCTATCCACATGGTCTCCTGAGTATATATGAGGGAGAACACACGTGTTACACTAGTCAAACCTTTTTGTTCTTACGACTTGATTTCACAAGAAGATAACTCACCCCCACAGGCGGAAATGAGTCCTTCAAAACTCAAACCAGACCTGCGAGAAGATGAACCTCGTCTGCCTGCTGCTGTGCTTGTTCCAGCCCCGGTGAAGGGGTGAGAGTTTCCTATCCTCCCAGAGGAGCTGGACCCCTGGCTGCCCCCTCCCTTCCCTGGCCCAGTCTGTGGGGAGGAGCAAGAGGCAGACAAAGCAAAGAGCTGTTCTCAGCTGGGACCCAGCACTCTGCGGCTTCCAGCCCTTCAGTGCGCCACAATTCTCCCAGCACTGATGCTGAAAGACTTTGGGCCGTGACCTTGTCCTGACGGGCTTTAAAAGCATTTTTATTACATTTATCTAACGGGTGGGTGTGTAGTTTTTGGGGGGCAGCATTGCCATGGCAGGGAATGACATATAGGAATTGACTTTCTCCATCACGTGGGACAGAGCACAGGTCACTGGGTCCTGGTGGCAAACGTCTTTTCCCACAGAGACATCTGATGCCCCTCCCTTTAAAAAAACATTTATTCTTTCAACAGAAACCTACTGACCACCAACTGTGTGCCAGGACTGTTCTGGACGTTGAGACTATAGGGGTCACAGTTCAGGAACCTATCCTACCAACATACATTAAATAACCCCCCAGAGCCTGAAGATTGCCAGGAGAATCCAAAGGGTGTCCTGATCAGTCCCACGAGGACTGTTTTTGGCAAAAGAGCAGCGGGAGTGAGGAGGATTCCTGAGGAAAATCATCTTCAGGTAGAACACTGCAGGACACCAGCTGGCCAGAGGCTCAGACAGAGCTACAGAGGGAAGCTCCAAGACAAATGCTCAGAGCGAGAGGAGTTCCCCATAGAGGGAAGCTCCTTGCAAATGCTCAGAGTGCACAGGTCTCAGTCTCACCAACTCACCTCCCACTGCTAGCCAGACCCATTAAGCTGGATGGGGACCTGAGCCCTATGAGCCATCTCTGCCTCCTTCCCAAAGGACCTGTCTTCCAGGAAGATGACTCTGACTTCCCCTCTGATTCCACAGAAAAATTGCTAAGGCGGAGTTTTCTCAGACACAGCACAGGAGTCAACACCAGGCCCATCTGGTCTCAGGGTTCAGGCAAAACTAGCCCCTAGACATGCTGTTGGCTCTCTGGAGACAGCACCCTGCTTCTCTGTCCCTGACTCTCTTTACCTTAGGACTTTACCTGGCTTCGAGATCAACAGAGACTTCAGAAACAGTCTGGCAGAAAGGTTCCTTGTTTCAGTGACCCTTCTTCAATCATGGGCCTATATCATAAGGTTGCGATGTCCCGAGCTTGCTGGAGCCCTTCACAAGGGCAACAGACACTCAACATAGAGTAATCAGCCCCTACTGATTTTAACCCTGCCTCCTGTGGTACCTAGACAGTAGCCAGCTGCCTGAACAGGACAGACACTCCTGGTTGAAAACCTCTGCCTGTCAACCTTGTCCTGTCTTAGAGGGATTCACTGCTACCTCCCAAGCCTTGTTAATTCACTCATTCCAAATATCTTATGTGGCAGTCATGTCTCCACCTGCTGATGGCACAGGGTCATCCCATGAGACTTAGCATATAGGGAGGTAGAAAGGGACAGCTCACTGTGAGCCACCAGAGCTGAGGGGGAAATACAGTAGGGGAAGAGACATGTAGTGTGGAACCAGCTCTTTTAGGAAGACTGGTGTGCAAGGGCCTCACTGAGCAGGTGATATGGAGCCTAGACATGAGGGGGGGGGAGGAAAGAATCCTATCAGGCTGCCTGAAGGAGCCTCTGTTCACTCAAGGGTGAAGTCATATAGATAGCTCCTTGTCAAGGTCAGACATGGCTGCTACCCCACCTCCCTGTACCAAATCTGCTCCCCTAGAAGAGATTCCTATAAATGCTGCCCCAGATCCCAAGATACCACGTGCCTATTCTCTAGGGAGATGTAGCAGCCACCTTGATGGCAGCCCTACCTCCCTGACAGGGATAGGAAGGTATAACCTTTGTTTTTCTCTGTTTGCATGGACCCAGAAGCAGCCTTGGGTCTAGTGCCTGGGGCAGAGCAGCACTGGCAGGGGAAGCAAGACAGGTTCCCACATGGCAGTGGATAGGAACCTTTAGGGAGAGGCAGGCTCCCTGTGTTGGCTCTGCCCCTGCAGCCTTGAGTGACTCTCAGCCCCGCCTAAATGGCATCCAGCCTACAGATTCTTCTATTGTGGCTTCTCCCCCAAGACTGTCTTCAGTGACTTCAGGCCCTGAGAATGCGGAGGCACCGCACCAGACCTTGTTGTAGCAAGCATATCAAAGCATATCAAAGCCACAGAGCCTGGCTATGGCTATGCAGGTCTCCCCCAACCCATGACTTCTACTTACCCTCTGGTTCCCCATCCACTCTGGTGGGACCAGGGGGAAAGATCCATGAGTAATGGGTAACCATGTTCCAGCAGCTGAAGACGAACCTACTTCTTTATCCCAACTTTTTTCCTCAGACTGAAACAAGAACAGCATGATCCTCCTACCCACAAACCAGAGGACTAGCGCTGAGAGGATGGGGATAAATCGCCTAGCCATATGGGCAAGCCAGTAAGGAGAAAGGTTGGGGTCAGGAATGCTAAGACATGCCCTTGAAGGATTTCTGTAAAGTCCTGGGCAGCAGGCCCTGCCTGCCCCTAGGAGCTGGCTCCATAGAGGCCCAGGTACCCAGAACAGCAGGTGGGTTCTGCCCTCAAGACAGAGTGCTGCAGAGAAGAGGCCACTTCGAGAAAGAACAGTAGAGACCTGAGGAAAGTGAAGGGCAAGGGAGGAAAAACAGTCTTGGGGACTTCCTGGCAGGGTATGGAACAGGATCCTGAGGTCAGAAAGGTCTAGGCAGGGCCACAAGAAATGACGTGTCTTAGGAAGCTGAGAGAGGGAATACAAGAAGTCAAGAGAACATGGAGCAAGGGAGGGTAGGGCTGCCTCCCACTCTAGCCTGTGTGAGCTCTGGTGACTGAGGTGAGGCTGGTCTTGGCTGACCAAAGTGCCAAGGCCTCCTCAGGCTAAGGCCACTGGCTATCTGGGCTCGATAGGGAGAAACCTTGTCCCTTGGAATGGAGCTGGTCCTTAAAAGCTTTGGAATAGGGCTTCCTTCCTCTCGGTGTTTTTGTTCAAGTTGATTAAACCTGAGGAATGTTTGTGTCCCGGAATAGAGGCCCACGTGTGTGCCTGTGGTTATCAAAATCTTCAAAGGGCAAAGTGCTAAGCTCAGAAGAAGCCAATAGCAACCTGCCAGGAATGAGGGGAGCAAGCACCTCCAGAACCTCAGAAGGCCTCTCAGCAGTACCCTCACATGTTAGTAACTCCAAGAGAACCCCCAGAACATCAGTGCTTCCCCTGAGGCCCCTCAGAACTTCACAAGCATACACACCCACTCAAAAACCCCAGGATTTCAGCGTGGGGAGAAGGAAAAAGAAGGCTCAAATCCCCGGGAACAGCAGCCAGAGCCCACAGATCCCCATCTCTCTCCACCCTCCTACCCCAACCTTGGACTCTAAGTCCAGCAGCACACCCCAAATCACACAGCATCAAAAACTTAGCTCTACCCCAACCCCAGAAAGATACAGAGACTATTGGGTGCTTTAATCCACTGTGGGGCTGGGTGGTAGTTCAGAGATCATGCAGGCAAACAGAAAGGCAGCCTCAGTTCCAAGAAGGCAGACAGTTGGGAGTCTGCTTACCAGCATAACACACACACACTCATCATTGTCATCATCATCATCATCATCATCATCATCATCATCATCATCATCATCATCAAACAACCCCAGCACACACAGGAGCCAAACTATCTTGATGCCACACAGTGAACAGGGAAACAGGTCTGTTGGCTGTTCAGCTTGAGAGAAGTTAGCGTGGGTGTTCTTTATCTCTTTCTTCCTCTGCCAAACGGGAGGGTCAGAGCATCATGGGATGCCTCGCTGGAATTCTAAGCCTCCTCACCTATACCACCATGTGCTGAGTCGGGGTAAGGTGAAGCAGAAGAGGGTAGCTGGCTGTTCCAGGGGAGTGGCGGGTTGTTCCCCTCCCAGAGGACCAGGGGAGCTCAACTTCTGCACAGGGCAGAGGCGACTTTTTTTACTCTCATGGAATAAGGAGTCTACCTTCCAGGGAGACAATAAGCGGAAGGCAGGTGGCTTTTAGATGCTACTCAGGCTACCCCACCTTCAGATGTTGAGTGATACAAATGCCGTGAAGACTGCACAGCCGTAAGGTCTGGAGTCTCCTTCCCCCTTATGTCCTCCCTGGGTGGCACTGCCATGATACAGCCTTGAGAAGCAGGCTTGAACTTCAAGCTGACCGCTGACTGCTGGCAGATCTGCTGACCACAAGACAGGGATCCACAAGACAGGGCTTTCCCACCATCTCTTGCCCCAGAACGTGGATCCTGCTCTGACGTGACTTTTGCAACATTCTCGTATTTTCTTTAAAGCTCCCACTCACTTCCCAGTCCCCTGCCATGTCCATGGTTGCAATCTGGTCCCTCAGAATGGTTCTCCCTTGACTCCTGCCCCTTCCAGCCTTCAAGGCCTGATTTCCACTTCACCTGGAGCGCTCCCTTGACGTCCCCTTCGGGCTCCTTCCACTCCTGATTGATCTGGGCAACCGCAGAGTTCTCCTGACCAACTAGAGCCTTCTTCTCTGAGGCCCAGCCCTGCTAGAGCTGAGGTCCTGCAGACCGGCTGGTGGCAAGGCCACAGCAGTTGTCCTGAGCAGGTCCCCACACCTGCTTTAAGTGGCACTGCTTGATCTCCCAGAAGCCCCCTCCCAATCCCAGTCCTGTCCCTCCTCCTGCCTATCCCCTCCCAGACCTCCTTCCTGCAGTGCTGGGATCAGAGGGGTCTGCCAACCCTTCCCCCCACCTTCTGTCTAGCTCCGCTCTGTGCCCCTGAGCTGCTGGGGCCCCACACAAGGCAGCATGTCTCCTGTAGTGGAGTTTCTCCGCCCCTAACCCATTTGCCCGAAACTTGATCCCCTTGGCCCTCAGAATCACCCCACTGGAGAACCCCGGGCTTTGATGGCTGAGTTTCCCCAGCTGTGGCCATGGGTAGCTCAGAGACCGCCCCCCCCCCTCATTTGTCATCATCCATCACTCCCAGGGGGCATCGCCTGATGAATTGTATTGAGCCCAGCCACCAGCTCAGCTT